GGGGGCGGATGCCGCACAACCTCGCTGGCTGGGACCTCCACCCTGACACCCTCGAGGCTGGTCCCGATGACAAGTCGGGCGTCCCCGCCCGTGCCTGTACGTCGAGCCCCTCGCATTCACCCAGTAGAATGTGCCAAGGGCTCGCCGGGGGCGCGCCATATGCATCCTCGGCCCCCCGGGGGTCGTCTGGGAGTACCGGGCAGACCTTCGCGAGGATGGGCTCCTGAAGCCACCCGTGATGGGCGATCCGATCGCCCGGGGCTCCACGGTCGGCGGACCGTGAGCGTTCGCTGGCCCTCGCTTCCGCGGATCGTGATCGACGCGGCTGCGGTCCAGAGGCCAGAGCCTGGGCCCTCGTAGGATCAAGATCGACGGATGGGGCCACCGCGGGGGGTGGTGGCGCAGCGAGCGGGGGGTAGGCCGCCCCTGGCGCTACGCCTACCCCCTCGGCGGCGTGCGCGGTCCAGTCGCGCGCCTTGGCGGGGCTTGGTACCCGCGCTCTCATGCGACGGCGTAGGCCCCCGAGAATCCCCGGCTGGACCGTCGCCTAGACGCGCACGGTGTGGCCCTCGTCCCGTCGAAGGTGCTCCCCGCACATCGGAGCCCCCCCACAGCTACCTTTCGCCATGCGGAGGCATGTGGGAAGGCTGCACTTGCGGCCGATGAGGGTGGACCGATACTTCTGAGCATGGTGGGCGCAGAGATGCACCTGGGCATTGAGGCAATGCCCCGGCCGAGGGACATCCGACACCTCTGCATCTCCTTGAAGCAGGACAGTCGCCTCCTGCATCCCTCGGTCACCGCACCCCTCCGGCTGGAGGGGGCGTGCTCCGCCTGCTAGCTGCACCCCAACTTGTGCAGCTTGGCAGGGGCGCTCCTCAGCCTCCACTTCGCTCTCCGAATCGATATCCAGGCGGCGGTAACCCGTGGCGTCGGTGATGTAGCGGGGCTCCGGCCGAGCCCGGCACAGCCATCCGAACACCGACCAAGGCAGGCAGAGCAGCCATTTGAGGACCCCGAATACCTTCCGGAGTCCCACGCCGACTGCCCGGCAGGCGGTAGCCTTTCCGTGCTCCGCTAAGTCCACGATCTGCGTGTGGTCGATGGCCGCGTACTGGTCGACATGCATGGGATGCGCCACCGGGCATGATGCGCACTCGACGGCACGGCATAGATGCACGTTGCCGGTCTCCTCGAGGTTCAGCCGCCACTTGCGACTGGTGCACCCCAGGACCTGCCCGATCTCAATGTTAAGTCCGTGGCGGTCCAGCCGATACCAGTCCGCGAAATTGCAGCTGACGCGGGCCACCTGCCCGTGCTTACGCAGGAGCACGTGGTTGCACGCCCGATTAGTCCCCCGGCCGCGCACCCCCTTTGTGTAGAACTCCGTTTCCACCGCGCCGCCTAACCCCGGCCCGCGCCAGCGCACCAGCAGAGGCGCCGGGGGGGGCGGGGGGAGGTGGGCGCCGGGCCCGTCGCCTCCGCGCCGCCGGCAGCACCAGGTAATCTGGTACCACGCCCAGCGGAGCCCCCCGGCAACCCACAGCATAGGCTGAGCTGCAGTGTTGACGATGAAGGCCAGGGCACCCAACACGAACGTGAAGATGCCCAGCGCGAAGCAGAGGACCGCGGTCTCCCACCAGTGCCCGAGCATCTTAACGCCCAGCCGATCGATGGCGGATCCAACCCAGCCACCGCTCGTGCGGATCGTGCCCGTGTGGTCGGGTGAGCTCACCCACGCACCGTAGCCCACGAACTCGAAGACCCAGGCGGCGAAGCCCCAGCCTGGACCTGACTCCGTCTCAGGGGGCGGGGTGGGTGGCGGAGGTGGTGGCGGGGGCGTGCTCCAGCCGGCCCACCAGTGGGGCAGGTGCGGGGCCCAACCGCTCCACCCCCAGTATCCATCCGGCCCGCGCAGCTGGTCAAGCTCGCCATCGCCCGTCCGGTTCTCCGGAGCGGATGGCTGGCCAGGCGCGCCCATGGGCCCGTCGTTCTCATCACGTGCCGGCGTAGCAGGGCTGCCCGGGGGCTCGCCCTTGCCTACGCGCCCGATGCCCGCAGGGGTGGTCGTTGTCGTCGACCTCGCCCGCGGCGGCGAGGGTGCGCCTGGCACCCCCGGGGGCTTGGCCTGCGGCCCTCGCCCCTTCCCTCCTTCAGGCGCGGGCTTGGCGGGCGGACCCCGCCCTTTGCCTTGCCCCCCACCGCCTGTCGGTAGGGCTTTCGGTCCGGGCAGGGCTGGCGGCGTCGGCGCTGGGACCTCGCCCCCCGCGCGCCCGAACGGCAACCAGCTCGGTGCCCCTTGGGCCGAGAACGCACCACCCATAACCAGGATCATCAGGTGCGCCCCGAGGAAGCCCACAGCCATGGCACCACAGCAGCGCCCCCTAGTCCGCGGACTAGCACGGCTGCGGTTATGGCCGTACCGCGGCCCCCCGGAACACCCGCGCGTCGGCCTGAGCCGAACGCTACGGACCCCAAATGGCTACTTGAGCCCACACCCCCTCCCACTTTACCTGCAGTCTACAAACCAATCAGATTATACAAAATATATGTGAAATCGCAGTACCCCACGGGGGATCGTTAACTCCGGGGGGGGTCGAGTCCATTCTTGTTTTTTGAAAGGAGAATCAACGTGGTACAATCTGTGTGGTGCAGTTCACCCTGCCGAGCGTGGAGTTGTCAACTCCAGTGCCCTCGCAATCATGCCATCTACCCATGCGCAACATGGCTTGCGAAACCCATGCGGCGGCGATTGCGATGACTGCTTGGCGCTGGCTGGCGCGTCGTTGCGGCCGCGCTAACGCGCGCAGGCTCGCGCGCAGAGCGGACAGCTAGTCTGGCGCGACCGGCGCGGCCGTGGTAGCGCTGACCGCTGGGGGCTTTCCAAGTCGTTTCGTTGGCCGAGCTGACGCTCGTGCACTTCAGTGCGAATTGGTGATTTGGGCGGGTGCGGTGTTATGGCGACATCGATAAAGGCTGACACGATTATAATTGTAGCGATGTCGGATAAAATGATGACGATGACGATGGCGACGGCACGGCCAACGACGGCGCCCATGTTGATCACGCCGATGAAGATGATTGTGTCCACGCGTCGGTGATGAAGGTTTTGGAAAGAATTCGGCATGCGCGCGCGGCCGACGAGCATGAGTGGCCCGCAGGGTATTATTTGGCAGGGATCCCCCCCGCGCACGCGCGCAAGGACGTTCGAATGATTTTGACGCGCTCGCGAAAGGTCTGCCCGCTTGGTTGCGTTTGATGGAAGTGTTGAAATCCGTGCAACAACGCATTATGTTCTCTTGTATGTCATGTTGTAAAACCATGTTGTATTTTTGTTATGTGTTTGGGCGCTCGATTTGGACATCCTTGCGAACCCAACGAATTTTTGAAAGTTTTCGGGTTGCGCGCGCGGCGACGCGCGTGTGTGCACGTCGTCCCATGTGTTGCAACACGATTTTTTGAGCAGTGTGGACTTTTGATAAACGTTTCTGCGCGCATGGTTTTTTTCTCGCAGGATGGTGTTGGGGTGGGGGTCGGGTTCGGACTTGCGGGGGTGGTGCGAATTCATTCTTCGATGGAGCGATGGGGCCGAATCGTATGTAAACTGCACACCCGCATGGGGGGTCGATGATTCCGGCTTCGACGGGGTGGTACATTTTATTGCGAAGGCCTTACGGCCGGTGCCGCCGACCGTGAATGGCGACGACGACGACGACGACGACGACGAGCGCCCTTGGGGGCCTCTTGGGGGTAGTTTGTGGGCCTCTTGGGGAACTCTTAGGGGCCGCTTGGAAGCCTCGTGGGGGCCTCTTGGGGCTTCCTGGGGGTCTTTTGGAGGGGGCCTGGGACGTCCTGAAGGTTTCTTGGACGGTCTTGGGGCTATCTTGGGCGTTTTCGGCCGATCTTTGGGTGACTGGGGGCCCTCTTGGGCCGTCTCGGGGGCCATCTTGGGCATTCGGACCTCATTTGGAGTGTTTTCGAGGTTTCGAGGCCGCCCGAGGAAAAACGAATCTGCCCCCCCCTCCCCCCCCCGGGACCCCCCCCCCCCGGGGGAAGGGATCAAAGGGAAGGGGCTTCCGTTCGACTCGATTACGACACTGCTAGATTTTTCTCTCGCCCACGAGCTTGAGAAGGAAGCTGCAGGGAAGGGGGACGACGGAGGCGACGACCGACGGAGACGACGACTCGAACAGCCAAGCCCCCCGCACACGCCGACAGGGTCGGCGGATTTTTTTTGAATGGATAGTGTATGTGACGTGAACTCTGTCGTGCAATCGGGGCGGTGTGAGCCACGTGGTGCATTCTACATGCTGCAATACATACGTACATACATACATGCATGCATGCTTGCATGCATCCACACACATATATACATGTACATATGTATATGTTGTGCAAATCATGTGATGCAATCGACGTGGTGCACCATATATGGTGTAAGCTATGTGGTGCATGCAAAACGACGCAATTCGACGTAACGCAGTGCAGAACAATGCGCTAAGCCAGTCAAACATTGATGTATTGCAATGCAGAGTAACGTAAACCAATGCAACGTAACGCGGCGCGGTGCAAAACAATTCAAAACAATACAAGCAGCACGAAGCAGCAAATCAATTCAAATCGATGAAAAACAATGCGCAGCAATGCGAAGCAATGCAACTTGGACGGCGACGAGGCAACGGGCGGTGACGAGGCGGCGACAGCGATGACATGGCCCGCAGGCCCAGGCGACGGGCGGCGACTGGCCTCGCCGGGACGACGGCGGTGGCGACACGTCGGCCAGAGCGCGGCGCAGGCCCAGGCGACGGACGGCGACGAGGCGGCGCCTGGGCGGCGACGGCGGCTACATAGCCGCCAGGCCGCCGCGCAAGCCAAGCTCCTGGGAAAAGAAATAAGAACCCCGAAGTGCAAGCACGTTTTGAGGAGCAAAGAAAAACGATCCTGGGCCCAGGATGGCCCTGGCAAGGATCGGTCCAGGTGCATGCTCAGCGCCTTCCCAGGAGTGCCCGCCAGAGCTCCCGCTTTGGAGGCTGCACGATGTCCAGCGGGGCCCGGAGTTCGAGCCCGTCCCTGCCCTGCGCATGGGCATGGTGCTCGCCGGCCACCGCATGCCCAAGCGCACCCACAACAAGACCCACAGGGCCAGGAAAGGCTGGTTGTCTTCCGCCGCGTATCAGGAGCTGGCGCGTACACGTATCCACTGCCCGTGGACAGGCCCGTCCTGGGTCCAGGAGCGGTGTGTATGCCCCCCTGGTCAAGCCAGGAGGGCGTACACGCCGCTCTTGGGCCCACGATGGGCTTAGCCAGGGGCGGTGGATATGCAAAGATCTCGTCGCCCTGCAGGAGCTCTGTGACTTGTACGGGCGCTTCCTGCGCGAGGAGGTGCTGCCAGCGCTGGGTGCCGCCGCGTGTGGGCGCGAGGACATGGAGTACGTCGTGCAGTCGGCGCCCGTGCTCCGGGTCATCTCGGAGAAGAAAGGGCTGCATACACAGATACTTTCAGAGCTCCGCGCGGATTTCTCAGATCTTGGATGGGGGCCCCTCCTCCTTTGGGCGAGGGGCGCACAAGGGGCGGCACCGCATGCGCTGGTCCAAGAAATCTCAGCGGAGCTCAGGCAGTTTAATGTTTATGTACTTTTTCGTTTCTCTACCATCATGCCCTCCGAGCACTATGCGACCAAGGAGCACCGCGACGCGGACTACGGCCACATCCCCGAGGAGCTGAACTTTTGGCTGCCGCTGACCCCAGTGTGGGGCAGCAATAGCCTGTTCGCGGAGAGCTGGCCTGGGCAGAGGGACTTTGAGCCCTTCGAGGGCGACGTGGGGGACCTCTTCAGATGGTGGGGCAACCAGTGCAGCCACTACGCCCAGCCGAACAGCACCGGCTCCACGCGCGTGACCCTGGACTTCAGGGTGATCCCGCGGCAGTTCTGGGACGCGGCGCAGACGGGGGACGGGGCCTCGAGGGCGCAGGCGGAGCAGAAGTTGTGGCACGACGGGGCGCTGGACATCGACAGCTACTACTGCCTCGCCCGCGGGGACGCACGTCACGCGCGAGGGCCCGCCGCCGAGGGCAGCCAGGACGTCGGCGGCGCGGCGCGGCCCCTGCACGGCAGCCCAGCGGCCGTGCTCGAGGGCCACGCTGGGCAGGGCGGGTGCGCCGGCAGGCGTCGGGCGCTGCCAAGGGAGGTCCTGGCCCAGGGTGGGCCCCCAGCTTCTCCAGGGGGGCCGGTGCTCCACAGGGGTGTGCTGCCTCCCACGCCACCGGGGCTCGCTTCAGCACGCCACTGGGGCGCGCTTCCACCGCGCCTTCAGGCGCGCGGCCACCACGCCCCCTCGGATGGCTTCTGGGGCCCCAGGGGGCTCGAGGGCGGCGCGAGAAGCTGCGGGGACTTCGGGCCAGCATTGCAGCTTCTCCAGGCCTCCCACCTGGGGCCGCAGGAGGTAGGGGTCGGAGGATCGCGCCGATCGCCGATGCATCGGCGTTGCGGTGCGATGTGCTGCCCGATCCTCTCCACGCCGACGTCACCGATCCAGCACCGACGTCGCGGGTGCATCGTCGATGCGTCGGCGAAGCATCGGTGATGCGGCGCGATCCTTCGACGCCATCTGCTCGGACCCCGTCTGGGAGGCCTCCAGCCTTGGCAGCCTCCGAAGGTGGCGCGCGCGACTGCTCCGCTGGTGCGCCTGCGGCGGCGCGCCCGGCCGACCCTGACGGCCCGGGCGCGGCGCGCGCGGGGCCCTGCGGCGAGCCAGCACTGCAGAGGGCCGCGCCCGCGGGACGCGCGGTGGCACAGCCGTCGGCGGCCCGAGGGCCGCGCGGTGGCACGCGGTGTGCGGCGCGGCGGACGCGCGCGCGCGCGCGGGCCGCTCCACCGGCGGCCGCCCGCGGCGGCGGCGCGCGTGGAGAGCTGGCCGTTGCTGCCTCTGCGGCGGCGGGCCGCGGCGGCGGGGGGGAGCGCCGCGCGGGGAGGGGGCGGCGGAGGGGGCGGGGCGGCGAGAGAGGCAGGAAGCGAGGCCAGGAGCAGGGCATCGGTGGTAGGCTCAGGGGGGGGCGCATCGCCCTCCGATCGCCGGTGGATCGCCGATGGGGGCCCGGCAGCCCACGCCGCCCAGGAGCGTGCGGTTTCGCGATCGGGGGCCTATCGCCGATTCAAGGTCGATGCTTCCCCCCTTTGAGCTGGTCCCCCCCGTATCGTCCTCGCAGGCGGGGGAGCGAGCTGGGCGGGAACCGAGGGGCCGAATGGGGGACGCGATGGGAACGGGGGGCGCTTGGGTCGTCGTCGTCGTCGTCGTCGTCGTCGTTGCTGCCACCCGCGCTAGATATGATATCGAGCCGTGGCCGCAAACTTGTAGACGCCTGTCCCACGTTTGGGCAGGACACCTCCAGGGAATGGCACAATCCAGCCCCGATCGCATAGCTTACCGTGTCCGTAGGTATCGGGACAGGTCCTGGCTCGCCAAACCATACTCTAAGCAGGCATGGGCTGATGGGCAGCGTGCTTGGCTTGAATGGCGCCAAACTTTGAGATAACCCAGACTGCCTTCTAGTAAGTAGATCAGCTCAGCAGCGTCGGGGCCAGGAGCCGCCATTGCAAGACGCTTACGAAACGAAACGAAACGTCGTTGCTGTCGTTGTCGTCATCGTCCTCCTTGCTGTTGCCGCGCCGTTGATCAGGCAGGGTCGCTGCGCTTGCAAGAGTGCAGTAAGCAAAATCTGGCCGCGGCAGGGAAAACCTGCGTGTGGGAGTACTTGGGAGCCCGCAGCAGGGTGAAGATAACGTGGAAATTCGCCCGCATCCTTCTCCTACTCGTCCTCCTCTGCGGCTCCCCGCTGCTGCTGCCCCGCTTCGGCGGCCCCCCGAAATCACCGCCCCTTGCTTCCTGGATCTCTTCCCCCTCCTTCTCTTCCTCCACATGCAGTCACACAATACGAATGCTGCATTCCTCTTCCCCCCGAGGCTGATGAACACGTAGCCCGCCCCCATCCGCGTACTGTTTTTCCCAACGATCCTGTGGTGTTGGGTTTCGTTTTGAAGAGACAACGCCCCGCGTCTCCTTCCTACCACTGCCCCCTCCTCCTCCTCCTTCATTCCTTGTCCTAATACATAGTTTCTCCCTGTCGCACCCCGAGGCCCGTTTTTAGGGCGGGCCAGGCGTTTCGCCTGAGACTTCCTCGATGTTTATGACTCTGAAGCTTTATAACTTGTCAACAGTTTCGCGGTGGAAACGGTAAGTGCTGTCATTGGCCTGACGTAGCGGTAACGGTCAGGTGGATCTGGGGGCACGCGCAGGACCGGTAACTGCTTTGTCGGTCTAACTGCTTGGACGTCGTGCACGCGTTTCGGATGGTGTGTTGTTGCTCTTGGGGCTCCGACCCCCCTTGGAGCCCTTGAAGAGGCTTGGCCGTCGATTTTCCGATGGACGAACTTCGGGCTGTCTTCACTTATTCGTCGGCGGCGCGCCGAGGGGAGAAGTGAGAGGGACGGGCTTCTCAGAAGGCAGCGAGGGTATCAGAAGCCTTCTGGCTTTCCGAGAGGCAATCTGCTCGGAGAAGGGTGCGGGCCTGCCGAGCCTTCCGAGAGGGACTGGCCCCCGTCCCTGCCCTTCTGGGCGCGGCGCCGAATTGGCCCGTTTGTTACCGCTTCCACCGTGAACTACAGTCGAGCAGGAGCCTCGGAGGTGGACCGGGCGAGGGCTGTGGCTGCTCTGCCAGGCGCAGCGCTGGCGCCCGTCAATCAGGCGAGTTTCGGGATCTCGCCCCCGACGCTGTGCCTTGCTCTCGTCCTCGTCCTCCTCCTCCTCCTCCTCCTCCTCCTCCTCCTCCTCCTCCTCCTCCTCCTCCTCCCTCTGTGACCGCATGGAGGACGTCGCCCTGGCTCTGCTGAGTGCAGAGCATCACCCGTGGCACGCGTGAGGTCCCAAGGCTGCTCTCGTCCCCATGCTGGCGCCAGTGAGGAGTTCGGCCAAGCACATTGGCCTTTGATCAAAGACGATTTTGAAAGGCTTGGGTACCAGTTGGAAGATTACACAAGGTTTGCCGATTCCCAGAATCCAGGCATGCTAAATTTATGGGTTTCTTTGACACGTGGTGAGATTGAGCAGCAGCCTATAGCGTTTCTCATGAAGAACCGCTCTGTTGGAGAGGGGCCGCTGTCAGAGAAAGACGGGATCGAGGACAAGGTCTCGACCATGCATGTCAATTTTGACAAATTTAATGGGAGCATTACGGTCTTGCGCGCCGGCTTGGGCTTGAACAGATCTCTTAGATGGGGCTTCAAGCCAAAAATGACATTCGGCCAGGCACTCTTGTTCTACACCGACAGAACTCCGCACAGTGCAGTGTGGCTGGAAGATGTTTCCGTAAATACAGGCAGAGTCTCAGCTGAGCTGAGGGTTCTCGTGACGGATCGCCCACTGAGTGCTTCTAGAGCGTATGAATTCAATTGAACGCCCCTGAGGGGGCAGACGCCGCCGCCCCACTTTTCTGGGATCCCAGAGTTTGCGGGAAGGGTGGGTGGGTGGGCGGTCCCTCACGGCCCCAGCGGGTCCCCAAACAAAGGCGGGGAATGAGGAAGACGACGTGTGAGTGGGTATGAGTGGGCTGATTGTGAGTCAGTCTACGTGTGAGCGCTGCTGCTGCTCCTCCTCCGCCACAGCCGCTGGCGATGTAGATTAAGAGGCCGCACAGGCGCCGCCGTTCCCGCAAAGCGGAGATTTCAGGCGGGCAGTATTGTTCTTCGCCCACGCTCTGCGGCGTATGGCATGACCGACCTCCGTGTGAGCGCGTCTGTTTGTTTGGGGGAAAGGCGGCGGGACGGAGGTTCAGGTAGGAGGCGGAAGCATCGCGTTCGCAGCACGAACCCCATTGCAGTACACGGGGACAATCGACGAAACATCATCCGTTCAAAGCCCGATGATAATCGTTTTCCGGACACTCCTCCCCGGGTCCATGTGGTGCAGTTTTCTATTCCCGGATGGCTTTCCGACGGCCCTAGGTCTGGAATGCGGCTTCCAGGGGCCGAGATGGAGGAAGAATGTCCGAAGGTCGACAATCGACCCAAATCTCGTTACGCGCGCTCGCGCCCGCCTCGCGCTGTGATTAACCACGACTAGAGGTTCTTTCCCGTTTCCGGCGTCCGACGGCCTTCGGCGGATCCCAGGGCCGTCAAAACCCGATCTGCTGGAGAGAGACCCTGAAAAGCCTCCCTGTCCGGTGGCGGGAGGGGAGGCCTGAAAAGGATTCCTGGCCCGCCTAATGTATGGACGCCTCTCGTCTGACAGGAATGGCTATATATCGATTACGTTGTGATGTCAGAGACACCCGCGTTGGAGCCTTAGTCATCTTGCTCGTGCCAGATTCTTTTTCGTGCCCTTCTCCGCAGGCTCGCGAGCGATTGAGTTCGAGTCGGCATCCCAGTGTTACTGCGTGGTCCCGCAGTTCACGCAGTAAGGTGTGCGCGCGAGATTCCTATCCTGTCTGAGGCCGTGTGCGTCTCCTCTCACATGTGTATGTACGGTGGGTGTAATAGAATACATGTGCACAGTGCACAGCTATAAGATTACCATAATGTCTGACGACGTTTCCTGCTTGGGCCTGAAGTGCCTTGGCAAGCGTTTTCCGGGCGACCATGCGCCTCGCGTTTTATCTCCTGCGCCCAAGCGGATTGGTTCCCAGGAAGTTCCAAAGAGCTTTCGCTTTTCGGTTTTGTCCGTCCTCCGAGC